ATGCCAAGCACTAATCAACTCAACCCAAGCGTCAACCAACAGAAATTACCCCCCACACTTAAACACACCTCACGGCGTTCCAACCCATCCCCGAGCATACTTCAGTGGAACTGCGGAGAGTTGCAGCCAAAGCTACCGGAACTTAAAATTCGTCTGCAAGCACTAAAAGACCGCGCACCAGACGTTATCCTTCTTCAGGAAGCTAATGTTGACAAAATCAAAATTCGAGGATATAACACATATATACAGCCGAGCATTAAAAGACAAACAAATAACTACGGTGTCGTAGCCACATTGGTCAAGAAAAAACATACACAAACACAATTAAATTTCGAGACAGCCTGTTCAGACGACCGTGAGGTTGTCTCTACGCGGGTCAAACTCGGGGATACTGTGATCGACATACACAACACATACATGAGGCCGTCCGTGAGCTCCAACGAGGCTGCTTGGATCAAGGGACTTGTAGCAATGGGCCGGCACACCATCCTGGCTGGTGACTTCAACGCTCGTCACACCGCGTGGGGATACCCCGACGAGAACGCCCGGGGAAAGAGCTTAAAAAAAGCCTGTGTTGCAGCCAAGCTCAAGCTTTGTAACAGCCCTGAAGTTCCCACCCGGTTGGCCCAGATACCCGGACACAACGACACGTCACCCGATCTAACCTGGGCATCACCGAAATTGAAAATCCGATGGCAAGTACAGTCGGACCCCATGGGCAGCGATCACCTTCCCATTTTTATCCAGCTCTCCATTCGTTCCTCCCCAAGACGGCGAGCAACCTTCACCAAGTGGGACAACTATCGTACCGCAATAGGTCGTCACAACGGCGTCCCCCTCGCAGAGCGCATCCAGCTCGCGCTCAAAGAGGCCCGCACCGAGTACCAGGTGAAAGAGGACACGCCACCCCTCGACCTCCGCCTGGTCACGCTGTGGGAAAAACGCCTCAAGGCGCTCGTTCGGTACAGGGCCAAGAAATACCTCACGAACAAGATCTGCCTGAATCAGGCCACAGCCAAGGCCAAAAGATACACGATCGAGCTCTGCCGCACCACCTGGAGAGGGTTGTGCGACTCTTTCAACGACAGGACGGGCTACATGAAGGTATGGCATGCGTACAAGGGACTCGCCGGAAAGATTAAAACCCGCAACACCGGGAGCAACCTAGCTCTGCGTCCTAACATAACCGAGGAACAACTTGCGGAATGAGCCGGGGAACAGTTCTTTCCTCAACAACCTACTCCACCACCGGCCGAGGTCTACACACCACTGCCCATCATAAACGAACAACCGGGGGACGCATCATTCACTATGGCGGAGCTCATTGACGCCCTTAGCTTGGCGAAGGCGAACTCTGCACCAGGTCCGGACCACGTCACCATAACGGCGCTCCGGAACCTTCCGATGGAAGCGATGAACGAACTCCTCGACACATTCAATGCGGTCTGGATGGAAGGCGCAATGCCGGCGGAGTGGAAACGGTCTACAGTGATTCCCATTCCGAAGCCCTGCAAGACTCCGCACGCAACAGCAAATCTCCGACCGATATCCCTCACTTCCAATTTAAGCAAGGTATTGGAGCGCATGGTCATCGGCCGCCTGCAATGGATCCTCGAGACTACGGGCGCCCTCCATCCCATCCAGACTGGTTTCCGACCTCAAATGTCAACTCAAGACAGCCTGGTAATGATTCATCACGACCTCTACGAACGCCACCTCTCCAATTTTCAGCCTCGGACACTCGTCGCCATCGACTTGCGAAAGGCCTTTGACTCTATCCCGCACCCCACCGTGGTCGCTGCTGCGCAGAGGCGAGGCATACAGGGCCGCCCCTTAAATTTTATCAAAACCTTTCTAGAAAATCGCACTTACCAGGTGGCGATCGGAAATACAAAAGGGGCCTGGAAGGCCAACAACATTGGCGTACCACAAGGGGCGGTTCTGTCGCCGCTCCTTTTCAACCTCGCCATGACCGATCTCGCCCTAGCCCTTGAGGCCGTTCCACAGGTGCGTTATACCATTTATGCGGATGACGTCACCCTGTGGACGACAGCCGGACTGGCATCCGACCAGCAATACCACATGCAACGTGCCCTTGACATCGTCACCCCTTTCGCAAAAAACACCGGACTTCAGCTTTCTAAGGAGAAGACCATGTATATGGTAATTCCCGCAAAGCGCAAAAAATCACGCACAGACATCCATCTTAACGTGGAAAACACTCCCATCACACAGGCAGACTGTGTGAAGATATTGGGTGTCCCCTTCGACTACCACGGAAGGGCCAGCACATGGATAAAGCACGTAAAAAAACAGTGGAAAAACGGTCTGACCCTCCTCAAAGCAATTACCAACAAAGCTTGGGGGGCTCAAGAAGACCTATTACGCCGTCTCGTGCGGACTCTTCTAGTGTCAAAGGTTATCTATGGACTGAACTTTCAAAATCTAACTCAGACGCAGGAGACCACACTTGTCACAATGAATCGGGCCGCAATGAGGATTGTCACGGGTCTCCCTCGCTTCACACGGGTGGAAGAGCTCGAACGCATCGCGCAGATGAATACCATTCAAGAAATCGCCGAAGAACAACGAATCAGCCAAGCCCTGCGCCTGTCCCGGACGCCCCAAGGCAGAACTATTCTGATACTGAGTGGGCGCGCCCATCTCATTGACGGCCCATTTATGCCAACGCCTCCGCCCCCATGGGAAACGGAGGCGGTCACCGTCGCCAAACCGATTCCAAAAAACCAAGGGACTCGCCGGGACGAAGAGTCACTCAGGCCTCTAACCACATGGCAGAAGTCGGCGGTCCCGCGGAGAGCACGTCGAAGTCTTTTACACAGACGCGTCGCGCTCTGAGACCGGCCGCACGGCTATAGCCTGGTACTCCCCTACAAAACAGGACACGCAGCAAGAAATCACTGTAAACACGAAGACCACGTGCTCCGCAGAACTGCGAGCGATCTTGATGGCGACACAGGCAGCCATTCTGAAGAGAGCCAACATCACAGAAACACGCATATATAGATTCTTAAGAGGCACTCCGCGAATTGCGTCGCACGGACACATGTAACGCCGTGGTCGCACAGATCCGAACACTAGTGCGCAAAGCGAAGGACGACCAAACGATCACTGTCGCGTGGCTGCCAGGCCACGAAGGTATCCCTGGGAACGAGAGGGCGAATGGGGCCGCGAGGGCACAGCTACAAGCAACACAGCCCTCACAAGGCCTGGTTCCTCCGCTCAGTCCTCGGAAGGTGCCTGAAGACACTGCCGACTTTGACCTTTCCGAGGTCAAACACGAAGAACGAGCAGCACGCAAGGCGCGCCTCACTACTCTTCTGCCGCCCAACCCTCACCGCATTCCGAGCATCTTTCCGCGATGGCAGCGGGTGGCGCTCAACCGACTCCAAACGAAGACGGTGCTGACGCCAGACTGGCTGTCAAGAATTCACCATCCGACGGATCCAGACGACGTCGGCCCCGATCCGAACTGCGAACACTGCGGCGTTCCTGCCACCTGCTCCCATCTCCTGTGGGACTGCGCAGAATCCGCGCCGGAGCGCGAGGCCGCAGTCCGCAACCTCCCCTACCACATACGACCTGGCTCCTACACAGAAGGGACCAAACCAACAACCGCCATTCTGAATGAACAAAAACTCATCTACACATCTCTCATCAACTTCCTCCGATCCTCCGGGATCGGTAGGTTCATCTAATCATCATCATTTTCACTTCCGTTCACCCTTTCCCCGTTCACCCTTTCCCCCCCGCCTAATCTGAGGCCTTCAGGCCAGAAGGCGGCATCACCCAATAAACGTTTTTACTACTACTACTACTGTTGCTAGTCCAGCGGTCAAATGTTATATATTTTCTCTGTGTGTTTTTTCATGTTCAGCTGGCCCCATTCACAATCAATGAACCAACTTGCTCAGCTTAAGCCCATAACATGCTATGAGAGTCGCGACTTTGGACAATCGGCGAAACTTCCAAAGTCGCCGCCAGTCCTTCCAGACTAAAAGCCCCCCCCCCCCCCCCCCGCCCCTACTAAAAGAAAAAAAAAAGTTTCTCGTTTCTTTTTTTTTATTTGGGAAAACTTTTCAGAATATTTTTTTTTTTATGTTTACGCTCCGTCATTTTGCCAAACTCAGCCTTTCCACTTCGAAAGAACGCCTGCCCGCTTGCACGTGCCCTCACTGCAGCACGCTTCGCTTGTTTCCCCTCTCCAGGAATTATATTCGTCATGAGTAAGAGGCCAGGAAATAACGCTCAAGCGCCAGCCTTAATTCTTATAATGGTCATAAAGATCGACACGATAGCAAACACCGTAGCATGAAGTTCTTTTTTTTATGACGTTGATCTTGACTAATCTTCCAGTGAGGTGAACGAGAGGGCAACTGCGGTATATCCTCTTCTTCAGTTAAAAAATGAAAGCACGCTCTCGGAGCGGAGCCATTCCACTTTTTCTTGCCCCACCAAGTATTTATCAAAAAGGGTCACATAAATTCTTCAAAGCTAAGTATGTCATTTGAAAAACGGCGAGTTTAAAAAGCAGCACAGAGTACAAAGTCAAGATTTTAGGATCTCTGGTGGACAAAACTGCTCCGCAGCCTGAACCTTAAGGGCTATTTTTCTTTCCTCTGGAATCCCTCCCCCTACCCCTGCCTTGGCCCTTTACTTTTCGGGAGTCCGAAATTTGTCCCGCAAACTCCAATGAGTTTGACACCGCTGATCGAGAGGCTGCGTTTCAAATCACAATTCGTTGGAGACGTTGTGGCGAAGCGCCATCTGAAAGCTGTTCTTCAAACCTTGTGTAACATGTAGTTCCACAGCAGCCATCTCCCAACAAACGGTGGCGTGTCAAGTGATGGGAGGGGGACCGTAGGGGAGAGCGGGACGCTGCTCGCGTAAGCAGCGTCTTTGGGCAGCTTTCGTAACTAAGTTGATCTAATAACGTTTTTATAACCCTGATATTGCCTCTCATATTGGCTTTGTTCCAGGATAGAAAGTACCAAAGGGAGCGGCGCGGGCAACCTGGTCGATAGTCGGGCTGCGGGGGTTCGGCAAAGTCCCGTCCACTTCCAGCATCCCCGGGGCTCGAACGAACCAGGGACTTCTGCTCGGCCGTCCAGTGACCAAGGGGCTGAAGAAAGCGAGATTCTCCCGCCGCCTACTCCACCTGCGACGACTGACCACGACGACACTGTCCGAAATGACGCCGATGACGGAGAAGACAGTGACTGCATTTTGATCGACGACCCCATTAACGGGGACATCGAAAAGAAGCCTCTTTGGGGCGCGAACGCAGGCGGTAAGAGACCACTTGATTTTCCATTCCAAAAAGCTTCGTACCAGAGCTTGAGTGACGCTTGCAACTTCGCCGACGATTCAGCCGGTATACCGTTATGTAGGTACAGTTTGGGCCGCTCGCAAACCGCCTTTATTAGGAATCCGGTGTTCTGTTCGAGGCTAAGCTGAAGCGATGATGATGATAGTCTTTATTCTACTTGCGAACGTGGGTTCCGTCTGCCATCGTATGAAGCGACTTCTCTTTCTACTTGAGACTCTACAAAATGCGCTAGATACAAAATTTGGTCATTGCAACACGACTATAAATCTGATAATGGTCACACGGACTCGAGCTAGTATGGCGTTGATTCATATTAAACCAGATATTACATCCGTAATTGGTATGTTGAGTACGTGTTTCTGCGTAAATTAGCTGTCGGCAAGGAAGAGCTAGCATGTTTTAAATGTTGTTTCAAAATGAGCTGTATTTCGGAGAAAACAATTTGGACGCCTCACAGCACAGGCGTAATCATCTTGAGTTTAATTAACGGGTTAACAATGATGAACACAGCCGGCTCCCATTCTGGTATGCCAGAAAAAAATGGAAAGCGGGACCAGAGGGACGAAAATTTCGCAGAGCTCAAGACATGTACTGTAATGTCGTGTGTAAATACGATACGAAAGAGCACCTAAAAGGTTGCTTAATTGCACATGTGTTAAATATAAGCTCAACAATCATGTTAAAAGCCTTACATTTGGTTTTTATTTGACCTGTGACGTTCACTTCAGTGTGCATGATAGTTTATATAATCAACCATGCTGCTGGAAGAAAGTTTCGATCCTAAAACATATTTCATACTCTAAAATATAGAATCAGAACAAATATGTTGGCAGACTGGAATTCTCTTGATTGGGGAAAAAATGTGGTGTATATTGAAAACTGCGTTGCATATCCAGCCAAGCTTTACGCCCATAACGTACAAACCCAACGTAAGTACTTGTTCTACCAATTTACCTTAAAGTTTACTTACTGCTCGAGGCTCCAATTTACATTCTGAATGAAAACCCCTTTATTAATTTAAGTAAAACAGCATAGTCAGCCGCCATGGTACGATGTACTGAAGTCATTTTTTAGAAGGCCGTTTTTGAACTTATACTGTTTAAAATGTGTTAGTTCCCACATCTACCAAGTGCTATATTACAAAACCGCCTATTCATCTCAGGGCAATAGAAAAAACATGTGGACTCTATTTTCTTGCGGACTACATTGTATAGACCAGGGGTGGCCAGGCTGACCCGGCTTAAGAGCCGCAAACACAACCACGAAACGTCCAAGAGCCGCGGGGGGGGGGGGGGGGGGGGGGCAAACTGTTGTCCGAGAAATAAACAAAACTCGAGCTACTTTCAATCTATCGGAGTTAAAAGCAGTCCAATTGTACGTAGATAGCAGTAGCACAAGACTGCCAAACCGCAACCTGCCCTTCGATTTAAAAAGCGTTTCATTTCTCTTTTCGGGGAAGTGCTCGTGTCGTGTGACCGAGAGGGAGGTGGGTAAAGGGGGGGAGGGGGGGGGGGGGGGGAGGTAAGGGAGGTAGCCGCGAGCCGCAGCTTGGCCACCCGTGGTATAGACCAATGAAAGCCTCACAACAAGAACAGTTTCAGAATGTTTTTATTATTACTCGTTTTAAAGAGAGTTTAATGGGTACTCATTCAAATAAGACTGGTCTTTTTCACCGCGGGCGGAAACATCGATTACAAATCACCAACACGCGCCCGTCGTCGACCACTTTACTCGGAAGAAATTTCTTCCCAGAAATGGCATGTCGTAATCTTTGTACACAGGGAAATATTTTGCGCACGATTGTAATTTTGAATTTTTTGGGATGCTTAGAGCGTCCAGATTCAGTTGCCGCCACAAAAGGGCGATATCAAAATTGACTTCAGTGTCCGTTTAAACATTTTCCCATACTCTGAATGTTTGGCTTTCTGCGGCTATAATACCCTTGAAATATTGTGAACTTCCTACAAATAAAAAAAAAACTACAGAAAGAATAAACACATAGAGGATAAAAGCACAGACGGGTACGTATCTTTCAACTCAAAACAAACCTTTATTCCGGTGCGGACGTTCGCCCGCTCGCCGGCTCCCCATCCCGGAGAGGACGAGGGACGGAAGGAGTGAGGGAAATTTAAAGGAAGAATAGGGAAAAAAAGGGGGATGGGGGGACCAAAACCAGAAAGATACCAGAGGACCCGACAGGGCAGGAGGAACGAGTTATCCGCCGATGTCGTCTAGCGGCTCTAGCCCAAACTGGAGAGATCGGGGCGGTAGAATGCGATCTCTTGTTCGAAGAGCGTCAGCTAGGCAGAGGAAACGTTTACATCTGGGCCCTTTATGGCCGTAGGACTCTATAATTTTTCTTCAAAACTTTTGGCTGTGAAATCCCAAGGCACGCGTGTGTTCGAATTTGGGCGAAACGCCACCGCACGCACGTTCGGCGGTGCACCACGAGCGGGTTCGCCGAGTCTTGCCCGGGCTCCACCACCTCTTTGGAATGCTCCCGCATGCGGTCGTTAAAACACCTGCCTGTCTAGCCTATGTATTCTCCGCCGCAGGTGAACGGGGTGGAGTAGACCTTCTCTTTTTACATGGGACGAACTGATGCCCGTTCATCTTAGAGCAGGTCTTTTTTAGGGGAGTGCAATTAAGCATTTTACATATATGTCTGAGTTTGAGCTTGCAGCTGAACGCCACCCCTGCATCCAATCTGGACGCGAGCGCTTTTAGCCGATGCGCTTTGTTGTGTGTAAAATGAATGACAGCCAACCTCTTCTTCCGCTGTCTGGGTGACGGTGTCGTAGTAGCCGGACCGAAAATTAGCCTCTTGAACGAGTTTTCCAGTAGGTCGTCAGGAAAGCCGGCCTTCTTCAACCTCTGCGTCTGCACCAGGACACTATGCTCCGCGTAAGTGGGCAGGATCTAGAGCGCGCTGAAGTCAGAAGGGACTTGACGAGTTCTAGCATAATGATCTTGGAGTGAGCGTTAGCGAAAGGCAGAACTTGATTTTCCGTCCTTTGCTTAAACTCCCAGCAGATTTCCCCGGGACGGATCGCAAAACGAAGGTCCAAGAATTCGAAAGTTCCGTCGGAGGGTCCTTCCTTTTAAAACGGAGGCCCGCGGGGCCCGACGAGAAGGCCTCCTGGATAGTCTCAGGATTTGTCTGCTCTTCATGTACGATTAGGTAGCCATCTACTACATAGCGGTACAGCCGGCGGCAAGGCGCGGAATCCTCCTGTCACTTCCTGATGGCCAGATCTACGTACATGAGAAACACCTCACTCAGAAGCGGTGCAAGGTACAACCCGATGCACACCCCCGCCCTCTGAATATGCACTTTACCTTCGTAATCTACTAGGGTTGAGCCGAGCTAAACAACCAAGAGCTCCAGGAAGCCGCTGATAGCAAAACCCAGAAAGCAGAGCTACAGGAAGCCACTGACTGCAAAAACCCATAAAACAGAGGTCCCACTCCGTAGCATTGTTTCGGAGAACGGGTCCCAGCAGAAGAATTTGGCGTCATTTTTAATCAGGAACCTGTCTTCACTACACAGCCTCAACCCTTCCGGGTGACTAACACCTCAGAGCTGATCTCCTATCTTGAGCCCCTTCACGTCTCCTCCGTGCTTTCGAGTTGTTCTCTCTGGACATTGAAGAGATGTTCTACTGACCGAGTTACTAAAAGAGGACGAGAGAGAAATTTGGAAAACTACCGGCACTTTCCCTCCTGCTGGATTGCGAGAAAGAGTGAAAGTCCCAGATGAGATTCTTCACCAGTGTTGGGTGTAGACATTGTACGAACTTCGTTCGCACTTTCTTGTCTGTTTTAAACTCCCAAACTTAATTCGAGCCACGGGCTTGGATGGCGACAGTCCCTCGGTGATCGGGACACCGCACTTAACGCTGTATCGTCGATAATAATGGGGTTGGCTAGAGAGGTGGGTGCGAGTTTTCTCCTAATATTTGCTGTTTCAGCTTTTAACTTTTTGTAACTACATTTATTTCAATATTTATATTTTGAAGTGGCGGCACTGACTCGATTTTGTTATCTACAACACTTATTTTAAGGCTGATTTCCGCCCCCGGGTGTGGCCGCAAATTGTTGAAAAGTTAGTTCTATAGCATTGCTTCAATCGCGATCTCCTGCGCGATACCAGAGAGCCGTGAACCTATGTTGACGGTCACAACGTGACTAGATTCGTTTTATTTTTATAATTAGTACATACCAGGGTGTCGAACCAGAACCGAACCGAACCGAACCGAAAACCGGAACCGAACCGGTATTTTTCTCCGGAACTGAACCCGAACCCGAACCGTTATATTGTTATCGCGATGAATCCGAACCGGAACCGAACCGGAAAAAAAATAACGGTTACCGGCTCATGTCAAAACGGTTCGGCCACGCGCTGTTGACAATGAATGTGCTATCAATGCCATTTGTTTTTTAAATGCCGTCAACTGACACACACCTCGCTTACATATTTTCCTTCTCCACACAGTCTTAGGAATATAAACGCTGCATCCATGAATCTTGACAAACGCTGCATCCATGAATCTTGACATAGGAACCAGTATTGCACTGGTCGCGGCTTGCACGGAAAAAAAAGAATTGGAAGGCTGTGCAAAAAAAAAAAAAAAAAATCGCGTCACGGGATCTCATTTTCCTACAATCTCGTAAATCCTAAATGCTGCTGTGTGCTCATTTCATAACACGTTTCTAGAACGCGCGAGTTCTTGAAGCTGGCTTCCATCGGAATGAGAAAAGAAAAGGCTGTGGAGTTTGATAATGTTTGAGGGAGAGAAAGAAATTTTATTTACAGTTGAAATGAGCATTCATGAATTATATCTGCTCTTCGCTGCCCCAACCACCGGTCAGAGTATATCGAGCTATGAAGTGTCAAGATTTACATGCCGCATTTTTTCGTACCGGAAACTCGATAAATGCGGGGAAAAAAAACAAGGATA